AACAGGGTATGGTTTTCAGCGATTCTACTCTGGAACAGGGTACAGTGGTGGATCCAGGGGGGTTCGAAGGGGTCCATGGAACCCCCCTTGAAGGTTTGATCTTTTAGGTAATAGAAATATGTCTTATATAAATGTTAATAAAAAAATATTAGTAGTTTTGATATTTGCTGTTATAATGTTTAATTTAGCTTTAAGTTCCGTTACTAGATAGTAAATTAGGTGATTAGAGCCAATTTTTTTGTCAAACATCGACTAAACAAAGGAGAATTATACACAGTTTAAGAAACGGAACCCCCCTTTGAAAAATCCTGGATCCACCACTGGGGCATATAAAATCGTGCTTGCTCTGGAACAGGGTATATGAAATCACGATCTCTCCTCTCTGGAACAGGGTTTTCAGCAATCTTGCTCTGGAACAGGGTATGAATTTCAGCGATTTTTACTCTGGAACAAGGTCAGGGTTCAGAGGGCTCAGCGGCACATCTATACCCTAAACCGGCAAGAGTACCCCCCCCCAGAATTCTGCCAAGCCACACTATTAAATAATTTGTTGGGAGCATGAGCTTTATGAGAGCAAACAGGACTTGCACTGACGTTAGCTTTCAATCACATCAATCTTATTCACAAAATAACTCAAGAGCTTCTCCTAAAACTAAACTCTCGTGTTCTGCCAAGTCACTGTGCTTTATATGCAAACAGCATGTAAGCAAATCTTCTATTTCTTTTCCAGTGGCAGATGAAACAAATGATGTTTTTAATCAGTGTCAATGGTAAGTGTCATCAATTCAAACATTATAGCATGTAAAATACCGAAATCAGTGTACAAGCACCTGTAGGATGTAGCAGATGGGAGACTAAGGGGGAGGCATTAGCTTGCCCCATATAGAGGGGCGGAAACAGGGGGGGTGGATAGGGGGGATTTCCACCCCCCTTTTTAAAGTAAAAGTGAATGTTTTTAGGAAAATAGAAGAATATGATTGCATCTAATTACAAAACATATCAAAAGTCAAAATTTAGCTGCATTCACAAGTATGCAGTACACAATACGTTATAATTTAATCATTTTTTTTACCTTTGTACTCACTGTAAAAAGAAGGCTCAAAAGAACTTTTTAAGAATTATCCACCCGTTTTAAAATCCTGCATCCGCCCCTGAAATACTCTACCAAATATCGCAACCCAAATAGTTACTCTAAACAACGTTTTATAACGACTGACACCAGATCTGCCTACCTTAGATTGCTGTATACTTTGGAAGGTATAGACACTCCATTATCGTCTAGTCCTGTTTTCTCATTATAAGCCCAAGTACCCCCGACATAACTGGATTGTTCGTATATTACAGCACTGAAGACATCTTGTTGCGCAGCTAGGTATCTTCCCACGCATAAACCAGCAGCTCCTGCTCCTATCACAGCAACATAAATCATCTTTAAAAATTGAAGTAGACTAATTACAAGCTTTCGTGATCTTTATAACAAAACACGTTAACCTATTGACCGCAGACCGTCAAGCAACGCAGCCTACATATACACAGGGATCCCAAAAGATGTAACACCAGAAACTTTGCTATATGGCAACTAAGTTTTATTTGCTTATTTCTGTACTTGAAGAATAGGACTTGATGCCATATTAAGCTGGAGCCTTTTTTGTAATCAAAAAAGGCTGATTGATTGATTGACTCTCTTATCTTTGAATGCTCATTACATTTCAAGTTCAAACACCCTCTGCTGGTCAGTAAGCTGTTGCATAGTAGTTCCACAAATTTCCATACCCTCCCCCTCCCCCCATCCACACACACAAAGAGGGATTAGGAATTTCGGAGAGGTAGGGGGATCAGGGAAAGAACAAAAATTGCTCCATGGGGGGAGGGGGAGTATGGATAATTGCACTTTCATGTGACAGCAGCATGAGCAAATTTAAGGGGGAACTTGTGGGGGCTGCAGACCCTAGCCCTCCCCTACGAGAAGTAATCTTGTTTTTTTTCTCAGACAAAATGTACTGTTTGTTTGTGTTTTTTTTTTTTGGTTTTAAGTCTATTACAGGTGGATGCACATGCCCTGCCGCGCCTTGAATGCATAACCCAGCTGTCTTGAAGGAAATCCTGGATCTGCCTAATTTGGACAGGGCAATATTTCTCTGCACCCTTAATTAATTTTCTAACCAATTTTCTAACTTGGACCCTGCCACTTGCTCATTTTATATGGGTTACCCATTGATTTTCCAGATGAGAAAGCCATAATATAACGTACACCCTCAATTGACATTCACCCCTCCTAGGTTAATATGTGGTTATAAAGGTTCCAAGCTTTTCCAGCAGGGTGGTTTTAGAGGAGAGTGTTGTTATGAATTAACTATGCATGTGCCTGATCCTAAACTTGCAGAAATCCTATATCAACTAGTTTGGGTTGTTTGTCTGTTATTTAACTTAAAGGAAAACATATTTGGTGACTATAAAAGGTTCCAAAGATACAAGAATTCCTTTATATTGGGAAGTCTATTCTCATGCGAATAAAAACCTTTAAAAACCCTAAGCTAAAATAATGTGGTAGAATCTATCGTTCAAAACAACATGGCAGTGTTGCCTGAAAAAGGCCCTCAATGATTTAAAACAGATTCAAGTTTAGAGAAAATAAAAGTATATATCTTAGGCCCCATCCACACTATGCCTGATAAATTTAAATCATAATATTATAAATTTTTTTCGGGTACGATGACGTCATGATTGTCATGGGAACATGGTGGGAAGGCTAATAATTCACCGCGGGCTCAATTTCAGCTTCGATGCACATGCCCAGATGTGCAATGAAGCATTTTTGTCACCTCTGATCGGCCTAGTGTGGATGGAAAACTTTTTTTTCGGTTTCTGTGTGAAAGTTTCGGATTCAAATTTATCCGGCATAGTGTGGACGGGGCCATAATTTACACCTGTGGCATTAAAAGCAGTAAAACAAGTTTAATGTCATATTACCCTTGTAAAATTGTATTATATATCAATAAAATAATTGCTCTCTGTCAGAGGTGATAATCTCACACCTCATGCTTTCTGCTCTTGTCATCTTGTGCCTAATTTAATACTTGCTAAGAACATATTGTATAAATTTAAACCTCTGGCAGACATCTTATCAGCACCCCTAGAATCATGAATTTACCTGGTCATAAAAATCACTTGAGTGCAAACCATATATCTTTGAAAATAGTGCTAACTAATAATAGTACAAAATAGCACAAATGAAACAGTTGAAAACAAAAGAAATATGTTTGGTGTTATTTAGCTCTTGTGCTATTGCATGAATATATGATTTGCACTATATTGATACCTTGAAACAACCTCTGGACTATGAATTAAGGTCAGGGCATGACTAATTCACAGATAGATTTGCAACTTAGCTTGTTAGGTTTTGTGAAGGGAGAAAATTAAATCCACAGCCTGCAGAAAACCCAGAAAAAAACGACCGAAAATTAAGACCGAATAAACTATACTTTCATGAGATGCCAAGTCCAGGAGTAGAGGTTTTGCACCACCACGTGATGGTAGCCATGTTAGATGACAGGAACATTACAATCATTTTGCATGCCATCTAACCACAGGCAGCCCAAGCAGTATTATTGAATGGGTACATGATGGTGCAAAACCTCTATTAAACCAGAGACCCAAGAGGTAAATAAGCCACCCTTGATTCACTGGTTGTTATACCAATGCAAACCTTAATTGCACCATCTAATCAACGCAAAACAAATTAAACATCGATTTTATCAAACCCTGCAACTGTAGATTCTGACCTCTGGAATGGGCTGGCTAATATATCATATGGGCTGATTTTTTAGCGTGTTGCATAAAATATCAGTGTGAGGAAAACAAAAACAATAAAAAAAAACAATAAAAAATAACAAATCTAAGGAGAAACCCAAAACGACTCCATGACCTCCATGCGATGCCAAGACCAGAAATTGAATCTGTCAGAACTGTCCTAGAGGTCAGGTGTGAGCGCACCACTGCTAATGACCTGGTCTTGATTTGGTTCCCAACTTTGGATAATACAATCAACAATTACCATCTATCTATCCAGTAATTGAATCAGATTGATCAACGTCTACCCATGTACTATTGGACGTTGCTTTGAATTCTTTGTCTTTATACCCCAAAAGATCATTAACCCTAAAAGACCAGGTGTATTCATACAGATTTTGAACAATTGGATGCATTCGATCACACTTAGCAAGCTCTGCAAGCTCATTATTATAATCCCATTGCTGTGATCCTAAGAAATGTGCATAATGAGTCTTATTTTTCCACTCTAACATCTTCGCTTCAAAATCCTTTTCTTCCTCCGAAAGCATTTCTTCCTTGGAAGGCAATGACGCCTTTCCAGACAGAACACTAAGCACAAGCTGAGCTTGAAGGCTGAATTGTGGAAAGGGACAGATTCGGATCCCTAAGCCAATAAATGACATGGAAGGATGGTTGATATTAAACAAATGTTTATAAAGATGTGTTATACGATTGTCTTTCACAGTAATGTTGCAGTCATCAGTCAGAAAAGGAAATGAAAAGTTGTATCCAGTACAGAAAACGATGCAATCTGCCTGTCTTGTTTGGCCATCTTGGAATAGAACTTTCCCATTGGCAAATACTTCTTTGATGTCTTGATGCTGCTCAAGATTATCTGGTAGCTTGCATGTAAATTGCTTACCATGATGGCTTAGATAAACAGCTTGGGCACTGTTCTGTAAATCTATACTGATATCAACTCCAGAAGCTGCTGCACCCAGCAAAACAACTTTCTTGCCTTCAAAAGCTTCTGGATAACGATACTCATGGCTGTGCATTACAAGACCAGGAAATTTTTCTATGCCTGGGATTGGTGGTATTTTCGGCTCAAAGTAATGGCTGTGAACAAGGAAAAAATTCATTCATTCCTGGTCTTTAGTTGTACAGAGTTTATAATTATATATTTGAATTCACAGGTACTTATTGTCAGTCATACGTTAGTCATCAGTGATAAAATAAGGAATACAAAGGAAACTTCTTATATTTTTGCAAGTAAATTGTCCAGGTCAATGCAGGTACAATAATCTAAGTACCCTCCCTAGGCCTATACCCACTGTCGCCCCCTAACCAAAATAAAATAAAAGGGGGAAATTGACTCCATAACTCTAGCCAGAAATTTGAAAATAAATATTTGTTTCTTGTCATAAAACAACAATAACTGCATCAAAGATGGATGTTGTCTCATCCTTTTCAAATCCTTCACAGTGACTTCCCATTTTTTCTTTGTAAAGTGTCACTAATATGTCCTTATATGAAATAAATAATCCAAAAAACTTACCCATTACATACAACAACTGCATCAAAGATGGATGTTGTCTCATCCTTAGTTTTCAAATCCTTCACAGTGACTTCCCATTTTTCCTTTGTATTTTCCACCAGTGGAGTGACTCTCACTACTTGAGTGTTGAATTGTATAAGATCCCTGACTGAGAAGTGGTCTGCATAATCTTCTAAATACTGCTGTACTTGGCTGTGTGTCAAGTAGGAGCTTACATCATCAGGAAACTGAAAATCTGGGAATGTCATCACTTGTTTTGGGAGATTTGTCCTGTTAAAAAAAAACAATCAATATTGCTAAAATATTATAAGGTGACTACCATATTCTGAAGGGGATAAGTATTTATCTTGACAATGAATAACCCTGAGCTGCAGGCTTTTTTAGAACTAATCTTCACTGGCAAGAGGGTCTAATTTGAAGGAAACTCGGCACAGCCATTCTAAGGTTGAGGAAAAAAACTGGGTTGAATTGTGATCCCAGTGCATTGTGGGACTATTTTAGGGCATATGAAATAGACGTACCCCATCCCCAACCTAGGAATAGCTAATACATAACCTTACTGTACTATTACTTTCAAATAGAGTGACCACAGTAAATCTGTGAAACTTTAGTAATACTAAATAGCACAATTTCATGCAAATTCCATTGTTTTCTATTGTTTAACTAGCACTATTTTGTACTATTTAGTAATTAGTGTTTCACAGATTTACTGTGGTAGCTCTACTAAATTTGACTCCAACAAAGGACTAACGTCCGAAACRTCAGTCTATTATCTTTCGTATTTACAAGGGCGGATCCAGGGGGGGCAAAGGGGGGCTGAAGCCGCCCCTTCAGCAGGAAAAAACGATGCTTTTTTATATTGTTTTCCGTTGTGTTGACGGAAGAAACTCAATTAGCCCCCCCTAAACTCAATTAGCCTCCCCCCCTAAAATTTTGGCTGGATCCACACTTGATTTACGGTGATAAAATTATCTACTACGACACATTATATTCTGATTCATTATAGTTGGAACCCAAATACAAATCAGTAAAATATGCATTGTGCTTAATCCATTATTTAGCACTAGCTAGTACTAATTATTACTACAGAGATGATGATGTTCCCTGATGGTTGTGAATCATCTACTCTATTGGGAAGCATGTCGTGGTGATACAGTATATCTGTACGTGGTGATCACATAATGTATTACATATTAATATCCCTATACAGTGGAATTTTAAAGTTTATAGATATTTTTCCACAATAACTGATGACAAGTTAATTGAATTCTTCAATTACATGTAATATTTTACTTATTGAGCTTATTAAAAAGACGTTTTAAAGCGTTATTGGTAGCATTATCATAATGCATTTAATTTCATGGTCATGTTGTCGTGTCTTATTATCAAATACCAAGCTTTACCTCAGATTCCTGTACATGCTAGAATGTACAGGCAAACCATTGTCGTCTACTCCTGTTTTTTCATTATAAACCCATGTTCCTCCAACACCACTAGTCTGTTCATATATGACAGTACTAAAGACATCAGGCTGACCAGAGAGGTATCTCCCCGCACAAAGACCTCCAGCACCGGCCCCAATAACTGCTACATGGATCATTCTTTCGTGAATCAAGCAGGGTAGACGATAAGGAACGAGACTAAACGCTATTCTACTTGTGGATTTAAAGAGATGTCCGATCATTTAAAACCGCAATATGGCCTGCCTTTCTAGTACGACCTTTCTGCTACTTCTGGTACTTATGTAATCAATGCAATCCCTCTCGACGCAACAGGCAAAGCACAGGAAACCCGATAAAAGAAAAAATATCATGTACTTAAAAATTCGGACTCATTTACAGACACAAGAGCCAAGAACAAACATATGATGATTTGAGATTTGATAACAATCAAAAAATTAATGTCTGAAAAATTCTTTTTGCAGATTTTTATAAAATTTTGAGCCTACCACAGGAAGCCCAATTCATAAAAAAACGAATTATTATCATTATTGTTTTGACTTTGAAAAAAGACTATAAAATGCCCTTGATCTTTACATGTAATATTTAGCATTGGTTGAACGTTTATTCTTTTCTTTCAATTTAATTTATCTTTGTATTTATACTTTTTATCGCCGTACCACAGGAAGACCAGTTTGTGCAAAGTATGAAATGATTCGTAGAAAAATGTTGAGTTTCTAATATCGTCGTAAAATTAAAGAAATAGTGAATAAAAGCCTTGTTAAAATGATTTAGAGAGAAAATAAATCTTTTGCTTTCTGGTGGGTTTTGAGGAGAAATAAGGGGGAGGATAGTGTGGAATGGAGAGTGGAAGAGGGGGGGGAGGGGTGGGAAGAGAGGGTGTTTTGCCAGTTTCTAGTCCCTCTCTGTTTGTCATTTGTTGATCCACGTCGATCATGTATTCTCCTGACAGCAAAAAGCAAAAGAAGATGTCTTCCCTCACGATCTCTGCCGAATGGGCTGCCCTGCAGCAACACTACCACTCCAAAGCATCGGTCCTGCACATGAGAGAGCTTTTTGAATCGGATCCCAATCGGTTCGAGAAATTCAGGTAAAATTGCTAGTGGAGCTTGTATATGGACCGCGGTTGTTCAGCTAAGGATCAGAAAAATAATTGAAGCTTTTGGTTTATTTGTTTTGGTTGTACCGTCATATCTGTGCATGAGATAAAGCAAACAAGCTTTTAAAACAGATCTGCACCATCAAGCATTGTTTATGGAAGAAAGATTCCGGCGTTTCTTGCAGTTCGTTCATTTCAGCTCAAATTGATAAGTATACAAAAGATTCTTTTCTGCATCAGTTGTGTTTGATCACGAGCGAATCACTACACCACATTACAGCATATTACTTTGTTAAAAGCTTTTAAATGTTCTCCATAAAGCTTCATAATTCACATTTGCAAACAACATTTCTTCACATTTCTAGAACTGCCTCTCCTTGACAGGAGCATGACATTTGTTTAGGTTCTGGAACCGGTGCTATAAGAATTTTGGCGGAGTTAAATGCGTGGAATTTAATCCCCCTCCCTAGAACACCTGTCTTATTTTCACTTGATTAACGCGCAAAGAAATGGAAAATAGAGCAATTTTTTAATGATCATGAAAAAGTCATAGTATAGTAGTTGTTGCCTGGGGACATGCATATGTAGGGATCATGACAAACAATGTCATGTCACTTTCATCACCCTTGCTTTGATTGGTTAAAGTTACCACTGTTTTTATAATTGCTATGCAATGTACTGATTGAGAGAAATTAAAGCTGTGAAAAAAGGTAAACTCTGCAATACACTACCCTCAATCAAAGAAATCATGAAAGTGCATAACAAGAAGAGATAACTAGCTAAAAACTAGGTAATCTCATTATTGCCCATTTATTTAATGCGATATTAATTTTTTGCCATGCATCATGTTTCTCTATTGTTCCACTAATTAACCCCCTGCTAAAATGGGGGGGGGGGGAGGGCTGTAGTACCATTCAAAACTCCATCCCGCATGATGCCACATGACCACAATGGTACCACAATTGATGTGCAGTCACCAATTTTGGTCTTATTAATCTGTTGTGCATCTGTCAGTGGGTTTGGCAGATTCACAATGCATAGACCCAAGCTACCATGAAGCTTGACCTGCCAAACTTGTTTTTATAAATGTAAAACTTGCAATTTTCACATGTGAAACTTCATTAATAGTTGGTAGTTAGAAATAGGCTCACTTACCTTTTATTAAAAAAAGCATTTGACTGCAGCCTAATCTGCTATGACTTTGTAAGTGGCCTTGTTTAGAATACATGTACTGTATTTCTTTTGCTAGATATTTTCCATCATCATTATATATAGGTGTTTGTTTATTGATGAGTTTATCTGGTTATAGCATGAAGCTAGACACACCTAAAGATGGCAAGCTTTTGGTTGATTTTTCAAAGAATATTGTTACTGAAGAAACTATGAAGTTGCTGTTTGATCTGGTAAGAAATTAGATGTTGACTGAGTGAGTAAAAGTTCAATCTATCAATCCATTGATTGATTGATTTGATGGTTATTTGTTTGATTGATTATAGATGGATTGATTGATCAATTGATTTGTTGACTAATTGAATGACACAACTGTATCATGATCAGTTGTTGACTAATGCATATTTAATGATTGATTTACAGGCCAGGTCCAGAGGAGTTGAAAGCATGAGAGACAAGATGTTCTCTGGAGAGAAAATAAATTTTACAGAGGTACAGTATGTCTGTATTGTTTCTACATGATGCAGTACCATGATACTTGTGTGGCTGAAAAAATATCAGAGCCAAATAATCAAAAAATTATGACTAGGCATTGAACCCACACTCTATAGCATTCATGAAAGGTGACAAGGATTTTTGCATGCTACAGTCTTGCGTGCTAGATTAGTGCAAGTACTATAGATCAGTTCCAGGACTGCCCATAACTTTGTTGTACCAATGATTGACCATTTCATAATTTGTGTTATATTTTGATTTCCAGGATAGAGCTGTCCTTCATGTTGCTCTCCGAAATCGCTCAAATAAACCAATTCTGGTTGATGGGAAAGATGTAAGTGCAAGTTAATTAATTATATAATATTACTGTAGCACAATAATATAAGTACCCTGTAATGTTAATTGGGAGCCAGTTTTGAGTAATGTACACCATTTCAAGAAAGACATTGCTTATAGTTGTAATATTGTAGAACATTTTTGCACATTTTACAGTTTACAGATTTAAGGAATTACTAAGACAATATTGGATTCTATAGGTTATGGGAGATGTAAATGGTGTACTACAGCACATGCGAGAATTTAGTGAGGTATGGATTTGTTTTGTTTCTATTCAAATTTCATAATATGTTACTTAAATCATGATGTTCTTCACTGAAGTATTGTGTACCTTTTTATATTAATTTAATAATTAAGTTAAGTTACTCTGTAACTTTTCTTTATAGGCTGTAAGGAGTGGAACTTGGAAAGGTACAATACTGTACAGTAAATACATATGTTTCATTAGACAAATTTTATTGAAAGCAAAACTAGTGCATAGTAAAGGAATATGTAGTTCCAGAAATAATAGCCTCCACACAGAATAATATTTTAAAGACCCCCCACCCTTCCCCCAGAAATTCCAATAAATTTTGTCTATACGAACTGTGATTATTTTTATTGTTTCTCTGGCCCCTCTGTGGTGGGGCGGAGGGGGAGGGGGGTGGGGATGGAATTTCTGGAACTACACAATGTATTATAATAATAGTTTTTTTGCATATGAATCATATAGTATGTGACTGTATAATTGTATGTAGTAACTGTTGTTAACTGATAGGCCACACGGGGAAGTCCATTACTGATGTTGTCAATATTGGGATTGGAGGATCAGATCTGGTAAGCAAACTTGCATGATCAACTTGTTACCACAATACAACTTCTATTAAGCATCCACTCTCAAAGAATATTGTCAAGTGTGCAAGTGAGGTTAACCAATATATAACAAATTTACTGTAGTGCAAGAACCCACTTTGGGGCTTTGACAATTGCATGGTGCTAATAACAACTAAATTTGATGATTTTTGACCTACAAATGACGATTAGCGAGTAGCCCATTGTTGCAGCTGTGTCAAATTGCTTGCAGATAAATCAACAGTGCTTGATAGCACTGACAATATTCTGAGCAGGTCTAAGTATAGCAGATCATCATGATTGATCATCAGGTGTCAATAATAGTTGAAATGGTCAACTATTTGACTAAGTCAAATATAAAAGGTCATACTAGACTTGCCATCTGTCTTTTGTTAGTTGTTAATTTGATATCCTGTAGTATGGATAGTTTGACCAGGTTGGTTAATTGGAAAACTGGTATTCATAGTTGCTAGAAATTCCCCCGTCTCCTCACCAGGTCAGATGACAACGATGATTTGGTTTTCCATAATCAGTGATGTTTTCTGGTTGCAGCTGATTAGCCCACAGCCCATCCCCCAACCTGGAGGGCCAGTTGCTAGAATGGTTTACCCTAATCACAATTATTCTTTACAGTGTTCATTTACTTTTACCTCATCATTTATTTCAGGGTCCATTGATGGTAACAGAAGCACTACAGCCATTTGGACAAAAAGGATTGAATGTTCACTTTGTTTCCAATATTGACGGCACCCACATCGCCAAGACACTGGCCAAACTGAACCCAGAAACTTCACTTTTCATTATTGCTTCCAAGGTAAATTTACATGTTATATTTTTCTTAACACTTGTCATATAATAATGTCTTATTATTTATAACTTGTGTGAAACAACATGAATGTGTGAGAATGCAATTTGTTCAAAACCAGTTACCAATTAGGAATATTATTGCTTTTTTGAGGCGCACTGATGTAGAAAGCCTATTTGACCTTTTAATTAATTTACTTTTCGATTTTTCACAGACATTTACTACCATTGAGACCATTACTAATGCTACAACAGCAAAAACATGGCTTTTAGATGCATTGAAAGATGTAAGTCAGATGTATCTAATGTACAGTAGTGTGTAGTGTGCATTATGAGATGGTGTCATGGGTGGTCCTTTAATTGCCTCAATCATCCACATTTAACAGTTCATTTGAAGTGGCATAGCTCTTCCTCATAATCAGGATTTTTCTTCTAGTTGGTACTCTTATTGTCTTCCCCCTAAGAGTCAAATCAACATGCAAGTTAAATGTTGTTGGTATTTTATAATATTGATGTTTTCTGTAATATATGTAGTGCAGTGAGTGTTGAGAAAGAGCTACATGTAGTTGCTTTTGAGGGTATTTGCATAGAATGGTGTTAATACTAAGTGTCTTATATTCCAGAAATCTGCAGTAAGCAAGCATTTTGTTGCCCTGTCAACAAACGAGGTACGAATTGCCAATATCAATAACGATGATATCTTTTCTTGTCTGTTTCCTTGATGCTTAGTTTTTATGCCAACATTAAGACTGTCCTCTTTGGATTTACACAGCAAAAAGTGACTGATTTTGGGATTGACAAGAAGAACATGTTTGCCTTTTGGGATGTAAGTAACATTTTTCTTGTTTTATCTCTGAATGCAACTCTTCCACAACTTCTAGTAGTCATACTGTATATTTTCTCTTGTTAGTGGGTTGGTGGACGCTACTCACTTTGGTCAGCAATTGGTTTATCAATAGCCATCTATATTGGTAAGTTTCTTTTAATTCCCTTGGGAAATTCTGGAAAGAGTCTAGACAAACTCATATAATCTCTTCTCTAGGTATGGATAACTTTGAAGCTTTATTGTCTGGTGCACATGCAATGGTATGATAACAAATTGTCTGCATTTTTTGGTGAAACCCTAAGTTTCTTTTTTTGATATCTATTTTTGTTTAATAGTTATTATTAACTTTGTCTCTGATATATTATCTTGTTAATGGTTGTAGGACAATCACTTCTGCACTGCTCCATTGGAAAAGAATGTGAGTATTGACAGTATGAGACGATAATCGAGTTAGTAATGGTGGTGGTAATGCTAATGCTAATGCTAATGCTAATGGCAATGGTAATGGTAATGGTAATGGTAATG